CAACGACTTGCCCCGCTTGTCGATAGCCTCACCCCAGATATGAGTCAAGTACGCTAGAAGATCACCCGTCGATAGTTTGGGTCTAAAACCATATTGAAGATCATTAATCAAGGATTCATCCTCTAGGTAGTGGGTCAGATGGTTTTTAAGAACCTTTTCTAGGACTTTATATAATACTGGGGTGACTGCTATTGGCCGGTAGTTTACCGGGTCTGAGGGATCCCCTTTTTTGGGCACCGGTTGCACGTTGGCATCCCTCCAAGTCTCCAGCATACGCCCCAAAGAATACGAGTATTGGTACAAGCGCGTGAGAGCGGAAGACAACTCCGCTGCACATTTTTTTGGTACTACTAATGGGATGCCATCAGGTCCACCAGCTTTCCGGATGTCGAGTGATTGCAATTCGACACGAACCTCACGCTGCCTGATTTTAATATCAGGCATCGTTGTGCCACAATGAGGTAATGATGGTGGCAGTGCATTGCAAATATCGATTCTGGAGTTAGCCGCAAAGAGTTTTGCCAGTAAATCGCCTCTCCCGTGGCTTATGAGCTAGTGTTCCGTCAGGGCATCTCAGAGGTGGCAGCGAGAGCTGGCAGAAGTTCTTTCGCACGGCCTTGGCCAAACGCCAATAGCTACGGGAGCCCGAAGGATGCGTTATGAATTCGTGACCAACACGTGTAACGCGCTGGGCATCCGCTGTAATCCTTCTTACAGGTCTTGAAAGCAAAATTATAGGCTGCTTTTAGTGAATCGACCCCGGGGATCCTTAAGAGCGCGACCTCTGATCCAAGCACGATATGCCGCATGCTTACGCGAAACAGCTTCAGCACAGTGGTGATTGAACCAGAGGTTACGTGTGTCCTTACTGATGAGATTGGAATGAGGAATATAGTATTGCATTACCATTACAATCTCCTCAGAATAACAACGGCGCTGGCCGATAGGTTCTTGTCTCTGAAGCAGCGCTGCTTCCAAGGGACGGACGCAAAGTTGTCACGCATACCGTCCCAATCTGCCGACCCATAGTGACAGATCCTGCGTTGTACCACCGTTGGACGCGCAGGCTTGGCCTGTGGCGCTTTGGTAGATAACGGGCAGTGATTCGAAGAGCCCAGAGCCCCCTTACCACAACCTGACAGCTCTGTGGATGGGTCGTGAGCAGAAGAAGGTCCAGTAATAAAGGTGCTTGACTTGAAATATCTGGAATCCTGGTGAGCTGATCGACCAGTTGCTTCAAGTCATGCGTGAGCAGAGCCCTGCATGGTTGGTTTTCGAGGAACTTAACCACAACTTAAAATTGTGGTAAGCATTAAATTCCCCCAAAAACACCAATTCTGATTTGGGAAATTGTTCTTGCGCGTCATCTGCTGCCCGACTAAGCTGTTCGAAAAGTCGAGTTGTCTCAACATCGCGAGTATGGGATCTGTAGAGGCACACGTAAACTTTGGCCTCGGAGTCGACGTGTACCACCAGCATGGAGTAGGAGTGATCTTCCAAGCAGCGGAGACGGCGACAACAAACATTCGCCCGAACATACAGGCATACACCGGCTTTCGCTTTGAAGGACTCTTTAAACACGTAGCCGGGATAGTTAAGGTAGCCTGTGTCACCAAGCAGAAGTATTTGTGTCTTCGTCAACAATGCTGGGCGTGCTCTTTCAAGATAGTGGTGGACAGCGTTGAGGTTAGAGTGGAGTCCGCGTATGTTGCAGAACTCTACCTTAAACAGCATTGAAGGCGAAGTTTGGGTGTATAGCAGTGCATACCTGGGGGTATGCACCGCTATACTTAGTTGTTTTAGAGGCTGCCATGGTGGAATTGAAAAAGAGACGTGAAAATGAGCGGGCGGTGTCGCGAATTAGGAAGATTTGTTTTCCCGAATGACTGCCTGCAGAGGCGATGCGCCGACCCGCCGGACGGAAGAGCCCATGCACCCCCCCGGGAGTGGCCGCCGGGACCCCACGCCCCGGTCACCAACCGGTACGACGGTCCACCCCGAAATTATGCGTGACATGGTAGGGCAGCCTCACGAACTGGTTAGGAATGCTCGGGCCCCTGTACTGTGCCACGGGCGGCCAGCGGGACAGTCGTTTCTACTGGTCTCCCTGGACGGCGGGTCGATGCAGTCCTCGACTCGAGCTCTGGTTGTACGCTGGTTGACCCCGAAACACACGGGAAGCACTTAACTGGGTTTTCACCATGCGCACGGTGGTAACAAACCAGGCGGGTGTTAGGCACCGTAGCATCAGAAGAGCGGATGGAAGCTCCGATATCCCTTATTCGCTTCTTACGATACCCACGCGAAGAGAAGAGGCGGTGAGTTGTATTCTTTTTCCGTCACCGCACTGATAAAATTGGTCTTAGTGTTAGGGCGTGTAGAGATAGAAGCATGGCTCTACGTGCGATCTGATAACTTTTTGTCGTACGAGTGATACATGATCCCGTCTTGGCAACATTTTCCATGAAAATGTTTTGGAGAGATCTTTTATTCAGTTCAGGCTTTCAGGCACTTGTGTACGTCAAGAAGCTAACCCATACAAATCTACGGCGGGGGACCTTGTACTAAGAAGCGGCAAGAAACTCAGCAAGAGCTTGTTTTTTCACCCTGTAGGTTTCAGTCATCAAATTAAAAAATGAGGTCAGAGATAATTCATGGAGTCTTTTTCCATTACATATTTTTATTCTTTATTTCGAGCCTGAGTTTCGAGCCTACCTACTTCGAATTATTAATCTATTCACACCAACTTTTCTTATTGTCTAACTATTATTATCTTTCCTAGGTACAACAAGGCTGGGTGGCTTGTATTGCTTTTAGATTACCTTTATACAAGGATTTATTATGGATACCCACATTAAACCTGACTAACTTTTACATTGGGAAAATGAATAATACACCTAGACTTGCGGCCAATCTCAGTGTCTGATCATAAGCCTACCCACTAAAAACCTTACAGATCGCCATTGGACATCTCTTGGCAGTACCAGCATAAGGCAAGACACCGGAACAGACAGTATTTTAAGTTATCCTTGGTGGATCCCTTCGACTCCGTTGTCGACGATGTACACAGAGTACGATTATATTGTCGTTGGGCCCGTAAATTACAGGGTCAAGGGACAACCAAGCCCGAATCCCACCGGTACTCTTGAAATTCCAGACCAGCCGAGCTAAAAAAGTTATCTTAAATATGATCATGACTTTAATAAATAAAAATATAAAGACAAAAAGGTACGGACAAATGTAAACTTTAAAATATAATAAAAAAAGAACTTCCCTGTCTACCCGACTGATCTGAGTAAAACTCAAAAATAACGATCAAGCTTTGAATATAAATAAGTAATTGTAGGTAGGTACCTACAGGTACTTCTACATAGGTACGTACTACTCCAAGGAGAAGAGTGCTGGTGTACCTGGAAGCCGGTGGACAAGCAGGATGAATATTATTGATATACAGTACCTACAGTATCCGGAACTAACATATCTCTTTTTAAATTTGAGGGACGTAACTTTGTAAAAATAAATCGTATTATGCAGAATCAATTTAAACATAAGTTTGGACGGAGGTAGGAGCATTTAAGCAGTGCATAGAAGGTATACGTACATATTCAGTGTGCTGTATTGTTATGGTGGTGAACGGATGCGCTAAATTACCAGGAAATATTGAAATCGAATATTGGCATTTTATATTTTAATGCAATTCCGCGTAAACACAAGAAATTATAATAATAATAGCTACTTAAATACGCATTTAAAACATTCAAAATCGCGTCGAGTACAGTGGACGCCGCAGGGTGGCAGTTTGTAAAGATGCAAGAAGTCTTTGAAGATGTAAATATATATATATATATATATATATATAGTAGATGGCAAAAAAATTAAAAAAATAAATAATATGTGGTTCAAATATTTACTTTATTTTTGAAATGAATGAATATGTTTTTGCTGCTCTACGGTTTAATAATAAAATTTTTCATTTTAAGAAAGCTTTTACTGCAGAAAGTCTGCTTTAAGCATAATATAGTAGTTTCGCCTACTATATATGATTTTGGGAATATAGTATTTGATTTCCCTAATATAGTAGGGTTGGCAACCCTAGTCCAGGAGGCATCAGACAGGATTCGAATCCGCACTTTTAGCTAAGTAATACTAGGAGAAATTCGGCACGACCATTAAGGTCTCGGTAGCAAAATCGGTTAGTGCGTCTGCTCGGACAGCAGAAGGTGCAGGTTCGAAACCTGTCTGATGCCCGGATCGCGTGGATTTTTTTCTAGTAAATATTTTCTTTAGATTTATTAATCTAGCAATAGCATCGACTTAAAACTAAATTGAACATCAGTCTCTCCTTTTCATTCTGTATAGAGAAAGACAAGGATACATTGTTGTCAAATTTAAATTTAGGTTTATTTATTTTAAACTTTATTGACCAAAATACAATAATGCTCATAGCGTTCTCTCCCAGTTAATCTATGGGAAAAAAGAAAAACGCGAACAGCGGTATAAAGCTAAATATACACATAAATATAGATATAGTAAATAATATCAAAAATATATAGGAATTAACATAGATACATATATAAATACATACTACGAAAGGAATATACATACACAATAGGGATGATGATTAATTTTATTTTCTTCGTTCATCAGGTAGATTATGAAAAAGTATTGGACGCGTATTTTTTCTTTTTTCACATAATATAAACATTGCAGAAATATATTGATTTGAAAAGTCGCATGACGCCACGTTTTGGTACAATTTTCACTTAAAAATGACGTCACGAGCCCCTACCCCCAAACTTTGACGCGCTTTATCATTTTTTGGTTGATTGCCCAAAGAAAAAATACGTGTCCATTATTTTTTGATCATCTAACTGACGGACTTAATAGAATTTCGTTTACTGTACCCCATCGTCACCCTTATAAAGGTTTAGAGAATCGTGTAATGCTTAACAATATAATTAAGTTATTTAATTTAATGATTTAGTATTATCGGTACTCACGTTGGTCAAGTGTGGTGGTTGTATCGGGAACACTTTCCGGTGGACTGGAGGAACTGAAAGTCCCCGTGTCTGTACTCTCACTGGAACCAACCATTGCCCGCTCTTGGGAACCCCATTCCTTTAGCGAGAAACGACGGTTAAAAAATCAAAACCAAAAATCATTTATTTAGGCTAGGCTGTTACCAGCACTTGTGAAGGTCAAGATATGCCATGATTGTTAGATTGGTAATTAGGAGCACGATAATATAAAATTATGACGATTAATGGCGGTTAAACGTAAACCTATTAGCGTGTCCGTACAGTGAAAGTTAGTTCTATAATTTATTTTATAAATATGCAAATGGTTCCTTTCGTTCGAGTGTTAAGTAAGTCGGAAGGGTACTCATCGATATTCTATTTACATCTTCTTGGACAAGAGTTTCTTTTTTTGAGATATAAATAAGTCCATGAAAATGTCATGAAAGATTGAAAACGTACCTTTATAACCAACTATTGATATATCTTTACTGATTTGAAGCCAGCCATTTGCCTAAGCACAGTAAACAATTATTTCGATAAAATGACAGTTATATATAACTCAGTCCCTGTAGCATGAGCACCACTATTTACATTATATCACGTTTTTATCGCGTCTAGCTGTCAATCTCCATAGTAATTTGACAATTGAGCGTGATAAAAACGCGTTATATATCCTATCGCGGTGCTCATACTACCCCTAGTAGATAGGCTGGATGGGTCAAGATATATCAGCCGAACTGGACAGTCGCAATGCGATTCTACCAGTTTAACTGATAATGAAATGCCCATAAAATATAATTTGAACATTATGTTCTAAAATCAAATCAAATAGCGAGCGCTTTCGCGTCTTCCTGTTACACACTTCAGTCCCATTTCACGAAATCATCATCATCATCATCATCATCAGCCTATTAATGTCCCCACTGTTGGGGCACAGGCCTTCCCTATGGATGGAATAGGGAGATTGGGCCATGACCCACCACGCGGGCCCAGTGCGGATTGGTGGGTGCTAACGACTGCAGATGCAGCCGGGACCAACGGCTTAACGTGCCTTCCGAAGCACGGAGGAGCTCGAGATAGTAATTTATGATCACCCATCCAATGACCGACCACTGCGAAAGTTGCTTAAGTTCAACGATCGCAGCCGAACGCGCTAACCACTTGCGCCATCGAGCTCCTCACGAAATCACTCCCACAAATTTCAGGAAAGCGAGAGGATAGATGTTACACATAAAAAAATACAAAAAGACTTACCCCCTGCTGTAATGTCCGATCGGAGGTAAGATTCAAAGTAGCGAAATTAATATCAATAACATTTTGATTCTCTTCAGCCTTCACGTACACCACCGTAGCGTCCATTGCGCTTTGCTTCGGAGAAACTTTCTTGAAAGTGGCATTCCTTTTGGGTGTCTCCCTAGTCGGCGGTTCTTCGTGTCTTTCAAAACCACCATTCATGGCTTTTCTCCTAGAAAGCAGTTCTGATGCATTCTCCGTACTTTGCCTCGGCACGGTAATAGTTTGATTCGGCAACTGTATAGTTTTGATAGGATCCTGCTGATTTGGTTTATCAGGATCACTGGGCAAGGCTTTTCTAGCCAAAGACAGCTTCTGTCTCGCTTGTATGATCTCATTCAACTCCTGTTTGTCCAAAGTCACGTTTAAGCTATTCCTACCCAAGTCTACAGTTCGCTGCATACCCATGTCCTTATAAAACGCGTCGTCTTGTTCGAAAGTCGAGTTTAAATTCTCCTTTTCCTCGTTGCCGTTTCTAAACTTTGAGTTTGAGTAGTGTAACGTTATCGTTTCCGCCATGTTTGGATTTGTTTTCGGTGTAGATTTTAACGAGTCCTTCTTTTCGCCGTTTTCGTTTAAGATCTTGCTTGTGTCGATTTGGCACGCTTCTTCGCGGGACTTTGTGTAGCTTTCCGAGTTTTTGATATTAGAGTCTCGTTTCGTAAAGCTATTGAAGAGTTGGCACCGAGGTCTGGCTGATAGGAGTTTTTCTGATTGTTCTAGGTGTGTGAATGTGACAGAACTGAATATGTTGGAGTCTTGCGAGGTATCTCCTTTGGGTTTGGAAGTATTGGAGACGACGTAGGAGGAATTGACGGAGCTGACGAGACTTGGTGGCATGGAATCCATCAAGCTATCGTTGTCGGGATAAGTGGTTTGTGAGAGGAAACTGGTGCTCATGTCCTTCTCGTCTAAGATGCTTAGCGTCATACTTGTCATCATGGGGTCGATGCTTTCGCGGCCTTGTTGGGGAATTCCTAAGAAAAAAGGAGTACTTTTAAAGATACAGTGGTATTTTGATCTGATGTGATAATATAACAAAACGTCACACATAGCAAATTAGAAAAAAAACTATGACATACTTGATAATACTTTTTATGTTAAGATAACATTTAAATTTTGGACTCTAATAAGATGATTTCGCGAAAGGAGCACTCAGTATTTTTACATTTATTTATCCCTGAAACCTGAGTTTGATATATATCCCTTAAGGTTTCAATACAGATAGTTAATATTTCTTCTTACAATATTTACGAGTATAGCCCGAAAATAGTACTCACCCGAGTCTCTGTGCGTGGAAGACAGTGACTTTCTACTGTCCAGGGACTCCGCGTTGAAGTTGCCCGAGCTCTCCATTAGTATAGAGGACACGAGGCTCGGTGGTGACATGCGCATTAAGGATTCCCCACTCTGATACATGTTGAGACTGCCGCGATCGTTCATCATGTTCGTGAGACCCCTGGAAATTCATTACTTGTTGGTTTGACTCTACGGAGGTTGGTCAGTCAACAAACGGTTCTTTTTCAATCGTAAATGTCTAAATGATGATAGTGAGGATGTGAGGCAACCAACTAGAGATGGGCGTTTTTAGATATATGTCAAATAGATGCGCATCGGTATCAGATACATCGCATCCAATGCGCGCATCGATACCAAGTGAATGACAGTATCGCAGGATCACAGGATACGGATGCGATATGAATTAAGACAGATGCGTGTTATGTTTGGGTGTGTCTCTTGGATTCACTGAATCATGTCTTGAAAATGTAATCGATATCATTTATTTACTTTCGGGATGGTAACTGAAAATATTGAATGCTGGCAAAATTATTACATAAAAAAAATGCACTTAGAGCGTAGGTTTTGAACGCATTCCAGGTGGCCATTCGCCTAACGGAAATGCTATGGAAAACGCTAACGCTTACGATTTCATTTTGTTATTTCTAGCCGCCTGAGGTTTTCAAATGCCTCGCGCTCTTTTTTTTCATTTGCATTGGTAATAACAATATTAAAAAAATAGCGTGAGGTATTTGAAAACCTTCGGCGGTCAGAAATAACAAAAAAAATCGAAAGCGTTAGCGTTTTCCTTAGCATTTCCGTTAGGCGAATGGCCCCCTGTACCACAAAATTTTTGGTCCGGTGGCAAAAATTTGAACTACAATTTATCCATAGCATTTTTACACTTTTATGACATATTTGTCACCGCTAGCGACATCTCCACCGGTACAGATAAGTTTGTGACACTGTTGCTATAGAAACGTTGACAAAAATTAGATGGCATCGGCATCCAATAACGGCATCCAGTCGCATCGGATGCGCGCATCCAACACCCACCCCTACAACAAACATGGCACTGGGAATTACAGGGCTAGTTTTGTTGCATACATCCTCGCCCTTCCTGATGGTGATGGTGACACATACACCAGACGTGTTCCTAGCCGAAGAAAAGAGCTTTGTGCCGAAAGTGGGAACACCGATTGACTTAAAATTAAACTAATCTTATTCACAGACCAAGTATTACTATATGTTTATTTATAAATGCACTCTTTTATTTATTGCTTGTGGGATGCACTTCGCATGGTTGTTTTAATTGGTTTTAACGACCTCGCCCAGGTCCTGCCAGAATACCAGCGCTGACACAGTAAGAAAGTACTTTCTCACTGTGTCAGCATAAGCTGAGGCAGGGTCCTGATTGGCTTTCTTAGATTTTTATGTTCTTTTTTATTTTTTGTTTTCATATGTAAAGTTTTCTTGTATTTCATTTTTTTATTTTATTTTTTATAGTTGTATTTATAAGTTTTTTCTTTTGTTAAGATGGCCAATAAAAGGTTTCATTTCATTTCATTTTATTTACAGACAGCTCGACTTCTTGTTGGGTAGAAGTTGTTTTTATATTGACCCGGTACTAGGTGGTGATGTTTCTGAATTTTAGTACCAAGGTATTTGGTTTGATTACTCACCATCTGTAGCGAGCAAAATATATGTCTTTGATTTTTTTTAAATAAAGGTATCTCGATTGTTTTATTTGAAAGAATGAAGAAATGGTAAGCTACGAGTACAATGGATCCAAATAGGCATTTTATTTCGGAAAGGACATGGTAAAGTTTTGTATGAGCGACTGCCCTGGCAATGTATAAATACTGTACTTACTAATATTTAATGGTAAATGGCTGAATATTTATAATTTCTATGAAAAAAGGCTCAGGAACTTTTGATAAATTCACAATCTTGAAAATTATAAGAACTCCTCTTATGTCATTACCTTACTACAGTTGATAAAAGATGTTGCCAAATATTTACAGAGTCATCAATTTTGCATTTTCTTAGAATCTTTCTTCCCATTTCTCTGATTAACTCTTCACAAAAAGAATTTTTAAAGCAAAAATAAATACAAATAATTTGCTATCGTGAGCCTGAATAAAACTTCACATCTGTCCTATGTGAAGTTTTATTTTGTCCATTAAAGGATTAATTATTATTTATCATACAGCCTTCTCTCAAGCCTGATCAGAATAATAAAATCTATTATTTTAGGCCTTCAGTAATTTGTTATTATAAGAATTAGGGCTAAATATGGCATAGTTTTAGGGAGTTTAAAAATAATATCGTTTGTTTTGATATACTTACACAAATATTTTTTGTGTACGTTTATTGTTCATTTATTTTGTAAAACGGAACATTTTGCTTTTGAAACAGACATAAAGTCAATTTTAATACTTTTAAATATTTGATTATTTCACGAAAGTTGTATGAGAATAATAAACACGTAATAATTAATAAAAAAATATTGTAAAGTTACGGGCTAGTGCGAAATATTTATACACGTTAAGGGCAGTTTCTTAGCCATGTCCTTTGAAAATACAAATTTCCGCTTTCAGCTTCCGCAATTTAATTATAAAAAGAGTTATGTTATAGAAATAATAAGAACCGCAAACCACATTAGTAACAGAATTAAAGTCTTGTTTGCACATCATCATCATAAATTATCATTTACTGATCAGCGACATGTTCTCATTACATTCAATTAGACGACCTTATTGGCCGAGTGGTTTGTACGCCGGGTTTCATGGTGTTACCGACTCGAGAGGTCCCGGGTTCGAATCCCGGTGGGGGCAGATGTTTGTATGATGAACACGAGCATTTGTACTCCAGTCATGGATGTTTAAATATGTATTTCTATATAAATATATTTATATATGTACAGTATATGTATTCTATCCGTTACCCTAGTATCCCGTAACACAAGCCTTAAAGTGCTTAGCTTGGGGCTAAGCCAATTGGTGTGAGTGTTGGAAATATTTATTATTTATTTATTTAATTGTTATATGTTGTCAGTAATATATTTGCTTGCTAACAAATTCACAAGCGATATACCATAAAGCAAGCGTTCTGGCCTATTTATCATTACCAGTCTAGGTAATAATGTCCACACTGCTGAGCAAGTCTTTTCCTATGGATTGAAGAGGCAAGTCGGGTAAGACTAGGGATGTAGTCTTTTGAAATATCGATATTTATATCGAAGTCAGAAAAATATCGATATGCGATATATCGACCATTTTAACTCGATATTATCGATATATCGATATTTTTTCCTTTTTATTTTTTATTGACATTAGAATACGGGGTGAGTGTGACACATTCATATGTTTGTTGGCGTTTTCGTTAAACACGCTTGATGAAATCGCGCCAAGCAGGATGTTTTTTTTATTGGCTTGCACGGTTTGTGTTTCAGCCACGACAGGAAACCAAAAAATTAAAATTATTATCCTGATCAGATCACTCACATTCGTTAGCACGAATGCGCCAACCCGCATATGCGGGACGACATTTGCGAATGCCTTCGCTAAGCTTTCACTACATTCGTGCTTTTCCAATCTATGTCGGTTTTTTAGCGCACATCAAATTCGCAAATTGCTTAGTCTCCCACACATCAAGGGCGTGCCCATGGCTTTAGAATAGAGTAAGCCCAAATCTTCCAAAATTACTATACCTATCTTACTTTCTTGACTTGGCGAGCTTAAAAAATTTACGATTTGTTTATGATTCTTAATTTTATTTTGTGTAATATTACAATGATATTAAATTTCAATTAATCAGTAGTTGACAATTATCTAGAAAGAGAGGCAAGGATTTTATTTAAGTGCATGACTTAGCATTAGTTATACCATTATACCTATATACGTTGGTGTCGATTCTGGCATGATTATCTAAACTTAAAACTTAATTTAACATCAGTCTCTCCTTTTCATTCTGTATAGACAATGACAAGGACACACTGTTGTCAAATTTAATTTTAGGTTAAGAGAATCATGCCAGAATCCACACCAGTTTAGTATATTTCTTGGGATTCAAGATTTTTAATACATCTATAAGCTCTTGCGACTTCAAAGTAAAAGTTATTTCGATATTATTCTATTTAGATAGTCATAGCAGGTAAATTAATTGATATTATTGTGTTTAAATTTAGTCTACGAAATATCGATATTTTGGAATTTCCGATATCGATATTATTGATATCAGTGAATTTTAAATATCGATATAAATATCGATATTTTGGTCTCGATATTCCGATATATCGTTGCAACCCTAGGTAAGACCCACATTGTAGATTGGCGAATGCTAGAAACTGCAGGGGTAAATACTACGTACGTGAATATGCAATAAAGAATTGAATTGACGTTGTTGGGAACAATTGCTCTATGGACCCCGTGGAATTCTGGAAAACTTAGGTACATACCGAAAAAAACAATCCCTTTCAAATACCGTTCACAGAGAGTATGGCCTATTTCTACCCGCAAGACATCTCGCGCACTAGACGCCCACGACCACAATCAGTGGCCGCAACGACCAGATTAACTAAAGGTGGCTATTGCGGCCAAGTGCGCGATGTTCGTATAGTTTCTTTAGTGAATTTGGTTGTTGTGGCTACCGGCCGTGGTCGCGGCCGTGCAGTACGCGATGTGCCTAAGGAAGGCTTGTGTCACAACAATGAACAAAGCAATCGGACATTAATATGCTAAAGATCAAATAAAACAAAAAAGGCAGCCACAACAATTCTTTAAGCGCACGCGCAGGTTTAGAAAGTTAATCGGTAGTAACGTTGCTTCTGATGGCGATGGCGCCTCGCGTCTACACTTTCCCTCTCATGTGCTTTTTTGGTGCAAATCAACAAGTCATCCGAAGTAATCGTCATGAAAGTCTCGTTACTTAACTCTTTCATTGTTACAATTGTTATTGTTAGATGCTTCATTAATGCGGTTTGCTAACGTATGACTCGAATTAGATTCAGATCGAAGAAAAGCATGAACTTTGCCAGCTTTTAGTTTATTGGCGCTACAAAAGATTGTCGGTAATTTTTTTGCCACGTTTAATATTAAGTGATCATCGTTACTTTGCTAATGACTTATTCAAACCATAAGTGTTATTTTAAATGAATCATCGCGATTTCGCGATACACATTCCTCAGCAACGGCAATATTTTGTATTGCTTTTGCATTTAAGCAGGTGAAAAAATTATGAGTTTTACCACATGCTAACACTGTGGAAGGTTAAGAAAAATACTCCTTTCCGCCCGCCCAACTTTATGTTTGACTTGTCCATTAACTGACGCGGTACGATACTTGCTTCGCTGACCGCCTAAGTTTGTCCTTTTTTATATAGAAAAATTGGCAAAAAAACGTACGGTTTTATTCATGTAGGTTCCATAAATAACAGAAAACTCATTTATAGCACAGTGTGACCTAAACCCGCACTTTACGCACGCTTTTCCGTGACCTAATTTGCCTATTTCTGCACGGTGTGTAAATGAATTGACCAACTTCACTCATGTAGAAAAAATAAAAGGAAACACATTTAAATGTCATTTGGAGCTTAAAAACTCACAGCAAACAAATGACAAATTAGCGATAGGTTAGGAATTTTCAGTGACAGCCAAAACAAGGAGAAACGGTTAGCTATAATTCATTCCGCGAGAATTGTATCTCTTGGTCGAAAATGGCCAGTTCGGATAGTGACCTAAGCGAATACGAGAACGGTGAAATTGTTCCGGACGCAATTAAAGAAGTGGCGAAGTCGGTGACATTGAATTTGTTGCCCCAAAAATCCAAACGGCTGTATACAGCAGCGTATAATGCATTTAAAAAATGGCGACGAGAGAATAAATCGAATTCGTTTTCGAACCCTCCCTCTTGCCCGCGTCCGGGGCGGGTTTATGTCACACTTGCTATAAAATAGTATACGATACTTGTGGCCTAAGTTGTCTATTACTGCACGGCGTTTAGCACTTCACGCCGTGCAGTAATAGGCAACTTAGGTCACGCGTATCGTAATGTACTATTCCGCCCGCCTAATGTTATGTCTGATGGGTGTCTGTCCAGTCTAGTAGCGAAGAAGAACTAACGCGGTAAGATACACTCGACTGCAAATAAACTGGGTCACCCGCTAGTACCTTGGAACTCTAGATTCGATTTTCTCAAAAAGTATTAAACTTGTAACTTTCAAAGTTAAACCTACGGAAAGTGCGTTTCATTATGATTAAAATGAGTAGAAATGTATTCTAAAGTACTGTCAACTTACTGTGTAATCAAGAAACATAGATCAAGTTGCTATTAACGCTCTTTTTTATACAACGAAGATATTATATTTCTTATATCTTTTTTAGTTTTTGTCCAAAGTTTTCTCAAGCGCATGTTTTTTGCTGCGTTTTTTACTACCGTTTACCACAATTGGAAAACGTTACTAACGGGAAAACTTTAAGAATTTATTTATCTCAATAAATTTCTGTTCATTTAAATCATCATGAAAAGCACTTTCTGTAGGTTTAGTAACATTGTTAATTATAGGCTCTATACTTTTTGTGAAAATCAACCAGTTTATTTGCAGTCGAGTGTATCTTACCGCGTTAGTTCTTCTTTGCTACAAGACTAGACCGACACCGATCGAATTTAACATAAGGCGGGCGGAAATGAATTTTCTTTTATTTATGGAGTCTGCATCAGTCAAGCCATACGTTTTGACTTGCCAATTTTTCTATATAAAAAAGGAAAAACTTAGGTGGTCAGGGTACCGATTTATTTGCTGTCCAATGTACTTGCTTCGCTCGCAGACTACCTTAGGTTTTCTCTTTTTTTATAAAATAACTAGCTGACACGGCGAACTTCGTACCGCCTTAAAAATAGGGACAGGTGGTAGAAGAGAAAATTTAAGGTTGTACGTATTTTTAATACCACATTATAAGAAAAATATATTATCCAAAAAATTTTTTAGGGATGTGTAACGTGTTCTATCAACTTCCTGGGATAACATTCCTCCTAACCCATATGAGAACACTACGTTACAATACCCAATAGTTTGAATTTTGGCGCGAAGGCGCATTGTAGGTTTCAGAACACTACGTTACAGGTGGACAACCATTATCACTTGAGGATATGAAAAATAGATAGTAGCCGATTCTCAGACCCACGGAATATGCATATAAAATTTCATAAAAATCGGTCAGCCCGTTTCGGAGGAGTATGGTAACTAACATTGTGACACGAGAATTTTATATATAAGATAAGCAAATAATTGTATATATGGATATGTAGGTTCTATATATTAAATAGTGTGCACTTACTTGTTGAATGTATTGTGAAGGTTGTGCGCTGGCTGCGAGAGGTCGATGTTGATCGGCCTGGACGGCGGCGTAGGAGTGTTCTCCGATGACAACCGATCTGACACCTCGGAGGCCAGCGTTACGTCAAGATCCTCCAACTGCAAATAAAGGTCATCATCATCAACTTATTAATGTCCCTTGCCATGGGCGTACTGGGAGGGGCAGCTGCCCCCCCCCCCCCCCCTCGAAATTTCGCAGAACATGTATGAACTCGCCTAATTACTAATAAAAGTGTAAACGGGGCCGTATGGTCTAACTTTTAAATAAACCGGGCAGTAGACACTGGCAAAATGCACGGTGCAATGAAGAAGTATACGCAAAGTTTGACATAGATGGCGCTGCAAACGCTTGACCCTAACCATAGCCGAATATTGCAGCTGTCATATTTTAAACGTGTTTTTTTGTTGTGAAAAATAATAAATAAGTGGTGAAAATGTATTCAACATGGTCCGTAATACAGCTGAAAACAGAGTTGAAAAGGCAAGGCAAAAAAGCTGATCTAGTAGAAAGGAACTCTTTCTATTATTATGCTAGAATGCTCATTCTCTGTACATAGACATAGATGCATTTTCCATGATAATTTTAATAGTTCGTGGATCTTTAAGGATAACTTTAAGCAGGCTTATTAGTCAAATCTATCTCATTTTTGCATGAGTCAGACATCTCATAGAGTTAGGTTACCTCTGGCTAAAATGGGAAGTAAAACATTGGGTTTTTTTGCAGACTTGAGGCATATGACCGCAATTTTAATTTTGGTGCAGTTTTTTCTGATCAATATGAAGACATCCAGATGCAATTACCTGTCCCAGATACATACCATGATGTACACATCAGCTCAGTTTTACCCCCCCTTTCAAAGCAACTTATAAAATTATATTTTAGTCGGTTAGCATGGAGTATTCTCACAACAACCAGGAACTGCACAACGCGGCATTTATAATTTGCTTAATAAAAAGCTTAAAAATGAATATAAGCTAATAGGTATGTATTTGATAGAAGTTTTGGGTCAAGCGATTACAGCGCCCCAAATTAGTGGCCAAATTTTGCAGATTTCTTGTCCAAACCGCGCGCGACGATGGCGGACGAAGATTACCGAATCTAGCCGAGCGTTCGAACGCTCGGCTGTATTCGGTTAGGAGTTGCGAGCTGAGGTCGAAGTCAGGTAATTGCCCGACTTGCATTCAGTCGGGCACGCTCTCGCGCCGCGGCTAATCTTCGCTACAACGTGTATAGGTACCTATATTTTACGTTTTTCTAGACAAAAAGTGTGTTTTTTGATAGTATTCAAATTACACGGGAACTATTAGCGAAAATAAAAATGTATAATTTATAAGTAAGTACAGTTTAAAGAAATTAATGTAAAAATATTTACTGGTGTCGATTCTGCCATGTCAGTGCAAAGGACATGTTGATGTTAAAATCATTTTAAGTTTAGAGAATCATGCTAGAATCGACACCACTGTATACTTATTTTGGCAGTTGCTGACACAGTTGACACGAGATAAAGAAGGAGATGAGAGACTTTACTGAAAGGGAGTTTGGGGCGGGGACTTGTGCCATTTTAAAATGCGATAATGTTGGCGTCTATTTATTACACGTTATTGATTTGAAGTAGCAAAATCTAACGTAGGTTACGTAGGTGATAAAAAATGTTCATTCAGTGTCTATATCAAAGTATAGAAATCTGTCTGATTGATATTATGTTGGGATTGTGACACGCACATATCTAATGTTTCATGCAGGTGTGTTTGTGTAGTGTGTACACTGTACAGCGTTAGCAGACGTACCGATTTTGGCGCGAAGGCCCGATTTATAAATCAAAATTAAAGGTCCCGCGCAGGACCGGCTCAATCCCGCTTTTCGGGAATAACACGACCGCGCGTGGAGCGTACTGAGAAAGCGCGGGCAGGTGGCACAGACAAGTGTGGACTGGCCACCTGCCCGGCGCGAAATGAGGAACTTTCTAACATTTTTTTTTGGTTCCTCCCATGCGGCGGAGCTGGTGTGTAATCCTCATGGATACCCTACAGCCGGCTGTAGGGTTATGTCAGACTCTTACTGACTAAAACACACCCGTGGGGGGTTGCCTATGGCCATAGGGGCCTTACAGGCTTCATCTGATGTGATCAACCCCTGAGAAGGGGATGATGCAGTGTTGCCTTACTAAATACTACTGCATAATGCGCTTAGAGGACGGATGCACTCTGATGTGCACCCGTATCGGTTTGAGACTGAGCGACTGAAGGTCTCTCAGGATCGGCGGGGCGAGGGCTCTCAGACGCGTTGCAATACCAATTTGGCTCCTTGGAGGCCAGAAGGGCCTTGAGGTCGCGCGAGAGTTCATTAGGGGGTCCGTTAGGACGTTTCTTGGCCTGCGGAGCCTGATCGGGTGGGGCGGAAGAGGGTCGTACGCGGACGCCGACAGGATGAGGGGGTAAGAGTGCTCTTCGGCAGATTTAAAAAATCGTTCCGAGCACTCCTTTACTTGAGTTTGAATGGTGGGTAGTTGGAAATCCAGGTGTAGGTCCGCGATTCGGACGTACCACGGGGCTCCGGTGGCTTTGCGACAGAAGCGATTTTGAACAATTTGTAGATTGTTCAAGATCGCCGGGTTCGCGAACTCTCAAACAAAGACTCAACTATTTCACGATAGGGTAAATCTGATTTAAAATACATAGCATATTTTTATTAGAATACATCTTCTATGGATATTTTTACTAGGTACCTATCTACTGTCACATAAACGTGATTTGAACTCAAATAAAAAGATAAATATTCAAAATCTTTTGATTATATAGGTTTTTTTTACTATGTCCCGCTTTCGACGATTGAATCCCGTTTTTTCACTCAAAAAGATCCTGGCATCCCCGACTTGGCAAAAAAAAATTGCCAACGCTGAGTGTGTATGACAAAACAGCCTCGGACGATCCGACCTAAAAAATCTGGCTTGCCTACCCCTAGGCCAGAAGCTGGGTACGCCCATGTCCCTTGCTGCTGGGGCACAGGCCTTTCCTATGGATGCAATAGGGAGATTGAGCCATATCTTGGTACTAATGATTGCAGATGCAGCCGAGACCAACGGCTTGACGTGCCTTCCGAAGCACGGAGGGCTCGAGATAGGTAGTAAATATTTGGTCACCCATCCAATGACCGACCACCGCGAACGTCGCCATCTTCCATGATCGCAACTGAACGTGCTAACCACTTGCGCCATCGAGCTCCTAAAAAGGTCACGATGGCATACATCATGGTTTTAAAAGATTCACACATTCATCGTTCTCAATAGTGGCACTTTACATCTATTCCTTTTAATAAGATAAATTAAAATCAGTCGTTTCTTTTCATTTCCTATATCTAGACAGAGAATGATAAGGATATTCTGCTGGCAAAACTTATGTCAAAGTAAAGTTGTGTTGCTGTTGGATATGTGTTAAGGCTGGGTTTGGAAAAGAATACGGGTAGACTACAATCTTGTGCTACTGAACGGTATTGATAGTGCTTACTCTCTACAGGCTATGGCGGTCGCTTCAGGCAGGGGCGTGTCGTCCTTCGCAGCCTGCCGCCCGTTTTAATGTAAGTGTTATAGACAAACACAATATTATTTTAGTCTATGATTGTATCTGTTAGTCCTGTGGTAACAACTAATGTATCCGTTTCCGTTTGGGGTTCTGTCTCGCTTCTACGGTTGCCAATGGCGCCGCGTTTGATTGTAATTGAGCGCAATAAATAATATTTATTACAACAACAAAGTCTTTCTCTCTGTCCATAACAGAGAAGAAATTGATCCGGCTCGAAGGACCGGAAGGCGGATTATTTATTAAAACGTAACGTAAACCTGCATTATTTTTTGGGAAAACTCACGGAGGTTAGATGTTTTTTTTGATAATTAATGAGATTAAAAATCGAAATTCGAAGACATTTTGTTACAACAAAAACATATTTATTGAACATTATTGAGAGATGAGGCGTTTGAAGTTGTGCATATTATCGTTTTTTCCATAAACTAGCTGCGGTAGAACGATCAGTACAAAAAAAGGAAAATAGTATTTGCAAATATTCTACATTAACTTACAATACTTAAATCTACTGTTTTTTTCTATTGGAAATAGTCAAAATCTTTTCTAAGGGGGTAAACGAGGCGCTAGAAAAATTACGATTTTTTGCGAAAAATGTGAAAGGGCTCTTGACCTCCGGGGTAGAGTAGTACGGTTTTTAAGATGTGCCTTCTCTCGGGGTCCGAAGGTTCGAATCACAGGAGAGGCAAATGTTTGTATCACCAGTACGAGTACTTTTTTCTCGAATCATGGGTGTTTATATTTCTTTTCTTTCTTCTTCTTCTGTAAAAAATACTTAATTATGTATTCAATGTACATATAGAGATGATAACATAGAGGGTGTAATGTTTTAAATGTATTCTGACGACCATGACGTGCCATGAGCCATGACGTATTTTGACGACCTCCTTGGCCGAGTGGTTTGTACGGTTTCATGGTGTCGCCTAGTCGAGAGGTCCCCGGTTCGAATCCCGGTGGGGGCAGATGTTTGTGTGATAAATACGAGCATTTGTACTAAAGTCATGGATTTATGATATGTACATCTATATAACTATATTTATATATGTACAGTATATGATAGAATACATATACTGTACATATATAAATACCGTTACCCTAGTATCCCATGACACTAGCCTTATAGAGCTTACTTTGGGGCTAGGCTAATTGGTGTGAGTGTTGGAATTATTTATTATTTTTTATTTAGTATCCTCTAACACAAACTTAATATGCTTAATGTTCCATCAAAAGAATACGCTTTACAAATCCATTCACAAATCCTTGCGATGCATCCTGCCAACTGTATGTTAAATGTTTATGCGAGATGACGAAGCATCGTAATTTCCTAAGGCCCCGTAACATAACACTTTTACGGGTTTAACAAAGTGGTCATATTTAATTTTTTATCGATAAGCCTTTTTACTACTACTGACAAACAAACATAAGGTTATTTTATGAGGTAACGGGCACAGATATTAATTTATACTTAAAAAAAATTAAAGCATGCAACCGAACAATGAAATTCAATACTTGCCAGAATAGCG